AATTTATTCATTCACGATATAGACAATCCTACCAAACAACAATTATATAACTGTTAGTTATAATTTTCCCCACTCAACAATATAACTGTTATATAACGCGTTATAACGGAAAATTATAACTAATAATTATATAACTGTTACTGGGTGTTTACTGGGATATTAATATCTTTTGAAATGCTCTCGTGTGAGTGAATATATATTTTTGGTTATATGGGATATATACTCTTGCATCTAAATCAATTTTTTTCTATTTTTTAACTTTCATATTATCCTGATTTTAATAAAACTCAAGGAAAAGCATCTACGTCCCAAAAGAAATATTTTGTAATTTTATTTTCCTTGTTTCTCTCACGATAAATATATAAACAAAGTATGGCATATTCCTTGAATCAACTAGACCTAGTCTTCCCTACATATACAAGATGTTTCTTAGATACTGTCCAATATTATAGGAATTGATTGTTAAAATTATTTTATTAAAAAATAAATAAATATATAAATATATACCCCCAGTAAACACCAAGTAACATAACATCAATGTTACAATTTCCCACTCAATAATAACAGTTATATAACGTGTGTGTTATATAACAGTTATATTGTTGAATATGAAATTGTAACATTGATAATATGTTATTGTTACTTGGTGTTTACTGAGTAGTTTCAAAGACCTCCCATACAGCACAAGATCTCCTGAGGACATCCCAGAGATGTCCTGAAGACATAGAAACATTTCCAGGACGTACTCTGGACGTACTTTGGATGTCCCTTGAATATCTATGCTGATAGGGCTCATTTTAAAGATGAATGTCTAATAGATATTATAATATAATAATACAATAATATAAGTGTTAAATTGTCATAATGCGTAATTGTCATAATGTGTAATGTGCAATATTACGTGTACGTTAACATATACGTTGGTTACAACTTCCCACTCAAAACGATATTAGAATTATATAACAGAAACATAACGCATAAATAACATGTTACTAAAAGTTTTTTACAGTTACACACACACACACACACACATACACTCACACACACACACACACACACACACACACACACACACACACACACACACACACACACACATATATATATAATTCCTTGTTGATTCCGTCTATCGACGCACAAGTTCAGGACAGCAGTACTTAGTACCCCGTTTCTACGCCAATGATTTCTTATAAAACGGTGACTTGGGTAAACCACACGAGTACTGGCATCTCCCTTAGTCATTGGCACTCTAGAAACACTTGGTTTTTCATGCGATTGCAATTATGCTTTTTGTCTACATTCTGATTTCAAAAAAGACTTTTTAAAGTCATGAGTAGATGCCGCTGGTTGTAAGAAAAACCAAGCTTTTCTAAAGTGTCAATAATAAAAGAAATGCCAATAACTGGTTTACTCTATAGATTAAAAAAATAAAGCCCATAAAATATCCTGCCTATTTACTGACCTGAAAAAAAACTCTTTCTGTTTAGGAGCTATTAAGAAAGAAATGATAATTTTGTAAAATTTTTAATATTCTTTATCTCTGAGACGAGGCTTTCGCGACTATATGTTTATATAAACTTTTCTTCATAAAATAACCTCAAAAATCAATTCTTAAAATTTTGAACAATATTTGGGAAACATACTATTTGTCGCACTTTATAACCTCAGAAGACCAAAATGAGTGTTTCCTGAGATAAGAGATTGCACATAATAACGCGGCATCGATCCAAATATTAGCATCACTCATTTATGAGTAATGTGATATTCAATATATTAATTAGACTATACGTTAGTTAGACGTCAATTGCGTCGGAAAAATTACATATAATTATTCTGAAATATCTATATCTGATAATCTATGATATAAAAGTGAAAAGGTGTGAAACGATAATTCAATCTCTCCGATGCAACATCATTGCAAAGAGTTGGGTTCAATGTCAAGAGACAAAAATTCACGACGTCCATCCGAGTTTCGAGCTTCTCCCGAGAGACTTGCGATCATCGAAATCGCACGAGGAGCAAGTACGACGCGAATCAGCCACGGTAGAGCAGGCAGCTCTTATCAAAACAAATACAGGACTCGCTGCGCGTCGACAGTCTGACTACAGAGGTCACCAAAATTACAGATCACGGTGATTTGAATCTGCATACCGTAACGGCCGCTTTATCGGACGCCCTTCGGGGACGATGTAGATTACACAATATGGATTCGCATCGTGGCCGAATGCAGCGGTCTCTGCTCAGGACGCGAGCCGTTTCGGTTTTCGGTGTCAAGGCGTTCAAGCGGGCCCCGCTATCGCGGGCCGACCTTCGCATTACGATGGAATGTTAATCCATTCATGCCACGTATATCGCCCCAAGTGGAATAACCTAGCAGAGCGTCCCATAGCCCTCGAAACGAACGAGACGCGACGCGGTGAAAATAGTACGCTCGCCGAGTGAGTCGCGTCTCGCGTGCAGCAGCGCGGCGGAATGTGCATTTCGCGACGGGCGAAAAATTCGCAACGTGCCTTTATCGCGCGTGATTACGGCAATTTCGACGCGAACGCGCATATCGCCAATTTATCAATAATTTATCGAACGCACGATTATAAAATCTGTAAACTCGCGGCCACCCGTGCGCGCCGGATGGAGATTTAAATATTCTGCGATATCTTGCGCCGCTATTGTATGCGAATAAAGCTTCAACATCGCTCCGACATCGTAGAAGACACGAGACTGCGCGCATCAACAGGCATTATTTACCAGAGTCATCTCGTAAATTTCATGATTGCTTCTGCGCGAATTGTTTACGTATGGTCTACGCAGTGATGTGTATACATTCTCCTAAAATACATAATCTCATTCTTAGAGGAATTCTCTTATATGCGGCCTCAGGAGAGGATTCTTCAAAAACCAAAAGGAAAATATTCTAAGCACATTTTTAAGTTTACAAAGCAATACAGTACGATCTTAATTTTAATTAAGGGGTTTTTATGTAATTTATTGTAATTTGAGATATTCTTAACGTTAAAGGAATTTCTTGTCTTTTATCTATAGAGAACAAGTCTTGTTCTTCATAAAAAGTCTAGCAAAAAGACACTCTTTTCAAATAAACATATTTTTTTTATTCAAAAGGAAGAAAGTGATATCTAATAGATTTCTAATAGAGTCCGCTTCATTAAAAGAGGAATACTGTCACAGTAAAAAGTTTTTATATAGAATATGAAATATATTACAGGAAGTAATACTTTGCAACTACAGTTTTTAGGGGGAGGGATATTAGAATATTTCTTCTTTTTAGTTTTAAAATAATCCTCTTAGATCCTCTTAGAGATCATAACATAGAAGGATTTCGTTAAGGATGAGATTGTATTATTATTGAGATTGTATTATTTTGCATATACATAATATTTTTTTTATCTAAACTATGCAAACACACTGTAGAATATTAGAAATTATATTAAAATATATAAAAAAAGAGTATATAATTATATAAATTGAGACAGTTATTGTATCTATATTGAATATTAATTACAAATTTAACGTTTATAAAGAAGATAACAAATTTCATGAAGTTCTCTTTATTTGACAGACTGATAAATTTAACTTTCTGAGAGAAAGAGAGAAAGAAGAGAAAGAGAGAAAGAGAGACTGGTTTAAGAAACAACATTCATAAATTGATATCAGGATATCTAAAGATAAATAAAAATGCCAATGCATTAGTTGGCAGATACATTAAATACTGTTAACAAAATTTTCAGAAGAAACATTTAAATGTTTACAACTTGATAATAAAGAATGTAAACTAAGTTTTATTTTTAGTTTTGTTTCTAAAAAAAGTTGCTTAACACATCTATGAAAACTAATCTATCAATATAAAATTTTCATCATCAATTTTTAAACAAGCCATGCATTCTTCTTTAAACGATATCCATAAATTATTCTCATTGCTCACATAGGTGATATTTCATACATGCATAATTTATAGTGCCTACACTTAGATCTTTATTAATAATTGTTACTTAAACTTGTTTTAAATAAGATACTCAGATTTTTTAATTCAAGATTAGATAAAAAATTTTTAATTAAAAATCATGAGATTATAAGTACATACAAATCTCAAATATATTATAATATAAATGAAAAATGTTTATCTAATCTAAAAACGTAATTAAAAGCCTATAAAATATGCTTTCATCAGATTAAGTTTTGAATTTATCAGGTATCTTGATTTTGGCTCTTATGAGCCTTTTTATATTGTATTTTTATTGCGTTTTTATATTGTATCTTAGAGCCTCTTTTATGTTTACTTTGATCTAACTTTGAATAAAAATCTTACATAAAATGTTACAAATAACAATTATCAATATGAGCGCAAGGCCTGTAATTAACAATCGTCACTTGAAACTTGTATCACGTGAGATACTCAGATCTAAATTTAGAATTAGAAGAATTAGAGTTAGAGGTTTTTGCTTGAATCATATAATATATGCGACATTTGTATTCGCGATTCAGCTAAAAACTCACACTCATCTCTAAATTAAATTCTGAATATCTCACCTGAGGCAAGTAACGGATACGGATCTTAAATCCGAATTAATAGTTGCTATTTGAAATTTGCTCCAACCGAGATTTTCAGGTTTTAATTTAGAATTGGATATGTAATTTTCAGTGGAATGACGATTGCAAATGTAACGTCGCATATACGCATCGTATCATACGGCGTTTACTTGAAAAATTTAGATTTAAATCTGAATTAAAATCTAAATAAGACAAATTTCAAGTGACGATTCTTAATAAGATTTTCAGGTTTGAATTTAGAGTTGATATGTAATTTTCAGTAGAATAACGATTGCAAATATAACGTCGCATTATATGGTGTTTATCTGAAAATTTTATATTTAAATCTCAATTAAAAATTGAGTATCTCATATGAGACAAGTTTCAAGTGACGATTATTAATACAGATTTTAGAATATCATATAATTTATGCGTAAACGCCCAAGTCTGTTATTTACCACCGAGCTTGTCTGTTCCGTCGGTGTCTTCGGCTTGAATGTCGCGGTGTCTTCCTCTTCCTGTGTCATGATGGTTCTTCTCCGTGAAACAGAGTCGGACGTCGAGTATACGAGCCTTCGCCGAAAATTATATGCCGCAGGCGCCGTGTACACGCGCGGGCCACGATCAATTCATTTCGCGCAGCATACGAAGCCAGGAGGATCCGCGCACGAAGACGAATATTGTTCCTCACGATCGAGCGACTTCCTCACGCCGGCTCAGAGTATGTCGACGGTCGCCATGTGTCGCCGACGATCGTGGAGTCTCTCACACGATCTCCGATCTACGATTCTCCGGGTATCAAGTAATGTCAAGTGTCTTCACGGTCGACTGATAAAACCCGCTTGATTCTTGAAACGATAAGAGATCCACACTCCGTCGAATAAAACTCCTCAGAAGCAAGAAGAAAGAGTTTCCAAATAAAACATAACAAAAACAATCGGAAATTCGCTTATTCACGTGCGTTTCCGCATGGCAGGCAGAGGCACGCGTTTCGTCCGCGTTTCACAGCGACACCACAGTTCGACATGGTCAGACTTTACGGGTTCCTGAAGCGACGACGCCCACCGCCTCCGTCGCGGGAATTGTCCTCTTGCTCGAGTTCCTGTTTCCAAGGGAATCCGTGAAACGCAAATCCTCCACTTTCTCGCGCTTGTTTCTCTCCGGATCGAGCGATCGACACGGCGGCGCGGAATTCAAAGCGCACGCTTCCTCTGTGGCGTGAGCCTTGAAGGAAGTCCAGAGAGGACTCTCCAGGAAGATTGAGGGACTCGGTTTCGGCGTTTCTTGCGAGAAGATTCCGTTGAGGAACGCTCAGCAGCTCCACGACGAAGACTATCCTCGAAGACTTTAACGGGATTCGATTCTCGGCGGACCCACGACCTTGCCCGGAGCGATTCTCGAATTCTTTCGGACACCCGGAGGCGTTCAGGCGTCAAAAACTATCGCGCGGTGTTCATTCCGCGCGCAACTCTCGCGATCGCGATTGATCTCTCAAGATCGAGTGCGAACCGGCGGCCGATCAATTGGTACCGGCATACTCCTGCCGGCACGGCCGTGCCAGAACTCTTTCGGAGCGACGCGTGGAGAGCAGTTCTCCGCGGACTATGCATGTATGTGTGTGTGTGTGTTTGTGTGCGAGAGTGTGCACGAGAAAGCAGCAGCGACAGGAAAGGAGCCGGCACGACCGGCCGGCTTACGCACACTGACTTCTCACTGGTCGGAGCTAGTAGGTGACTCCGGCCACCCCTTCCATATCGCATAGCAACCGCTTGTAAGGCGACTGATAACTTAGCGCACTTCACGTCGCGAGGATCGACGGATCTCGTCGGGTCCAACGTGTAACGTCGCGAGGACCCAGAGGCGACCGGCGATATATTCGTGTTCGTGCGAACTTTTGCCGAGGGAAATTGGAGTGAAGATGGAGATGGAGATGGATCCCACAAGAGAACAACATAATAGTTGATCTACTCTGTAAATTTTTTGTTAAATGGAATCTCACTTAAAACGAGAGAAGAGCAGTAGTACGTTCACTCGAAGCAATAATGAAAATACTGTTAGTCAAAATTGCAAGAGTAAAAGCTTCATTCAAGCTTAAAGTGGATTCTGACTCTAAGGATGAGTATTTTAGTCGATTAAAGTGAATATATTCTTTTAATAATGAAGTAGTAGAGACCAGGGCTACATGGCCAGAAATATGTTTTGCTCATGTGCTTTTTCTTAGTATTTATCTTGAGAGGCAGAGTGGATACAAAATCGCGAAATGGTTTTTTTTAGAACATAAATACTTTTCACTGAGTTTCATTAAAATTAAAATAACATTACAATTAATAAATAGAAAAAAACTAATTTCGTAATAACAAAGTAAACTTTTGAGTATCTTGGAATTTTATATTAATATTTTTTATCGTGGCTGAATAAAATTAAGCGATGTGTTACTAGCTAAAATGAAAATTCTTACAAATATATGATATACTGTTTCTGGTAATAAGTGCAATTTTTATTTATAAGATGAATGAAATAGAGTATATAGGCGGGCGAGGTAAAGTTGGCCCATAAGAGCCGGCAGGAGAACTGTGAAGACCTCTCTTTCGTGGAGAATCTAAAATTACTATCAATATATTTCATATGTGGCTTTCTTTTTTTATTCTGCGCTACTGAACAATTGGACCCAATAGAGGGCAAGATGACTATGTTGCTGCATATTCGTATTTTTATTATTACAAAACAAAATATACGATTAACAGAATTGTGACAGGTGTAAATACATAAAAGAAGATCGCCTCTATCATGTTTATAGTCAGTCAAAACAATTAATTGCCTAAGAAATTATAGAAAAAGTCTACCCTACATCATATTTACTCTACAATGTCCGGTGAAAATATTATATAGAATTTAATTAGAAAAAAAAATTTTTTTTTTATTTATAGCAATTATTTCTCTGTGTGATTACAAATATCAAACATTTTCTTCTTCAGTTAGAACGTTTTCTTAGAGACGTTTTCGCGTTCAAGGAAAGTATCTCAGACGTTGGAGCACTAAACGCAACCTTGTACTCTTTCCATTTTACCATTGAACCGACGCCAAAAAGCGGCTTTTTTATTTGTCGCAAAAGTATTGTTCATACCGATTACATAAATCGCGTTAATTAGATCGCGACAATAAACATCAAAATACATTGGTACATATACATTGTACATATACATACATATACAATATTTATACATATACAATGGTATTTATTATTATTGTTGAGGCGTAATTTATATGTAGACGCTGAGATGGATTCCCTCAAACGCAGATTGATACAAGTAACATTCAGGAGAATTTCTTACGGTTTTTATCCCCTTACATATATATGTGTAGATTGAATCATGCAAATTATTCTGCATTGCAAAAAATTTTGCGTTGAATTTAACACATCTCACATGTTCCAATGAATCTACTCCGATTTTTGTATTAATTTAATACGAGGCAAATATGTTATCAAATAATGCAACTTATCCATACATTTTATATGTAAAATATGTCAAAAAATGCATATATTACATATCAATTTTGTTATTTTGGCACTTAAAAATAATAAATATAAATAACTCTATGCAGAATAGTCAAAGTAACACAACGTCAATATTTTTAATTAGCAGGCGGCTATGTTAAAAACTTCCATAGATAAATATTATTTATCTATGGATTTCAACGTAAAAACAAAGTATTTTTTTCTTATTACGTAGATACAATATTAAAAGGATTCTAGCATTTGATTAAATGAAAGTTCATTTATATGTGCATGATGCAAAAATTAATTGAAACTAACAACGTGTGACAGAAATTTCAGTCATTTTTATAGTACCGTTTCCAAAATATTTAACTGTAAATTTGTATTGTGCAAGCATATCTAGACATCAAATTCCTTGTAATTTAAAATACTTATATATAAAACAGAAATTTATATAAAAACTTGTAATAATAAAATAAACATTTAAACATTTTAGTAAAATATTACACAAATTTACTAACAAACTGAAAGGAAATTTAGATTTTTCAATAAAAATATTCGTCAAACTGATAATATATAAATGGAAATGTAACAGCACATATACATGATAAATTAGCGTCAAATCTATAATAACTTTAATGTAATAACTTCAATGTCATTTATATAATTATTTCTTTATTTATATTATTTACTTATATTATTAATATTATTTACTTATATTATTAACATAACTTCTATACATTTCAAATTCAAATAAAATAAAACTAATTATTTATCGAATACAATAACAAATACATTTCATGTTTATATCGTTTTCTCATTAATAGTATTAACATCAAATAAATGTGTTACAACTTTTATTTTGTCGTATTTATAAAACACTTCATAACTTTTAAAATAAAGAAACGATAAAATATTATGACGTTTACGAATTTTATTACACTAAAATTGCTATAAAATTATTTTTTCAGTCATTTTAAACGATTTTATTAATAAAATACTGCTTGCTTAATAAGAGAGTAGAACTTTCTTGATTAAGTTATGTATAATGACGATGTTGTTGGTAACATCAATTCCCATTCTAATTCTATATATCTCTTTATAATGGTAAAGACGTTTCCAATTCCGCGTTTAAGATCTACAATCGTGCGCGATTTTATTAATAAAATACTGCTTGATTAGAGAATAAAACCTTCTTAATTAAGGTATAATAACGTATAATAACGATATTGTTGGCAACATTAATTTCCATCTACTATTTTATAATCGTAAGAACATTTCCAATTCCGTATTTAGAATTTATAATCTACAACTGACGCTAAAAACGTTTTATTTCATCATGAACTTGGCGCCTACTGTTTATATGAGTCATATAGATTAGACGATCACGTAATGATGAACATCCACATACAAGTATCACGTGCACCTGAACACTTATATTTGTTATAAGTAGTAGTTAAGACATAATTTATTCAGCGCATTTCCTCAAGCGCAAATCGATCTAAGTACAATTCATTAGAATCTCCTGCAATTTTCAATCTTACATATACATGTGTGATAGATTGGATATCATATGAGTAATCTTAGTTAAGACGTTAAGACATCTGGTGCAACAACAATCGATAACAATAATCTTAACCTCCACTATGTATCTCGTAATCATAAGAAATATTTCGTATATTACATTTAGGATTTACAATCGAACATATTGATAGTGCGAGACGGCGCTCTCCTCTCGAAAGGACGACCAGGACGTCTCATTTCACCAACTTCACACTGAGATCAAAATAAATGAGACACACGAACGTAAATATTATGACTCCGCGTATTATATAATGCCGACTGATTAGCGCAACATTTCAGTATGAAAACAAGTTCAAGGCGAACACGATCTTCTTCACGTGAGTCCAAGATAGACGGGGGACAATAGTAAAAATGATACTAATATTGATAAGATAAGGCGCGGTAAAAATATATACTCGAAATCCTTTCCGCGTCAGCATATCACCATGTCGTTATTTCATTCTGGAACGCCTCTTCTGATGTGCTGACTTCAGCAAAATATCGCCTATAGAATGAAGATTATGTAACTTTTCTTAAGAGCGGAAACATGAAAAGTGAAAAGTTCCACCTAAAAAATTTCACATTTCCATCATTTAAAACATCATTACATGATCGCTATGATCGTCGAATTTAAGTGAAACTTTTCACTTTTTATGTGTTTCTGCTCTTAGGAAAAAGTTATATGGTAATTTACATTATAAGTTACATGATCATTATCTAAGATGTATCGATCATGTAACTTTTTCCTTAACGTGAATTCATAAAAAATGAAAATTTTCATATTTTCATTGTACAAAAAATTACATGATCGTTATGATCGTCAAATTTAAGTGAAACTTTTCACATATGTGCATATTTCTACTCTTAAGAAGAAGTTACATGATTATTGCCCAGGATATATCGATCATATAACTTTTCTCTTAACATGAATTTGTAAAAAGTAAAAATATTTACATTTTCATTGTTCGAAAAGTTACTTGATCGCTGGAGTCGTCGAGATCACGTGAAATTTTTCACTCTTCACGTTTCCGCTCTTAGAAAAAAGTACATGACTATTATCCGGATAGCGACGTGCCGGATTATTTCGACGCGTCGCGGCGATCGGTGAAATGGCGCATCCGCTTTCGTCGCGCGCGCCCATGCCTGAAATTGCGCGCACACCCAGAAAGACAGAAGTCGTGCGTGTACACCACTCTCGCGTCGTAAATCGACAATCGATACGGTGATTTTCAGAGTCTCTCTCTTACGAGAGAGGCGCGATTAGGTGCAGCTCGGCCGAAGTAATGACTATTTTCGTACATGAGACGCGCGCAAAACAAAACGAGATAACGCGATCGTGCACGTTACATAGCCAGTGCGATGGTGCAACCGAGTATACACGATCATGTCTTTCTCTCTCTCTCTTTCCCTTTCTCCCCCTTTCTCTCTCTTTCTTTCTCTCTCGCTCTTTTTCGATGTGCTTCTCGATGCGACAAGAGAGGCTGTAAATCAGCGTGGCGCGGGAGATCCGTAATATTATTAAATTATGCAGCGGCGGCGGCGGCGACGGTCTCGCTTCCTGCCGCAGGACGGACCTCCTTCTATCGATCTTATCGCGTGATTTCATCGATTTCCACCGCGACAGGCCGCGAAACGCCCACGCCGCGGCGGTATCTCCGGCAGACGTAACTGTACCCGACCTACGTCAACTCTCTAGGCTGAGCCTAAACATCCTCGCTTTAAGACGGAAAACGAACGAGGATGCTTGATACACACACGGAATACCTACGGTGACCAATTCTTGATCAGCCAATCACGAAATATCCGTCTTAATAGAGCGGAACTTTTTCATTGATTATCATATTACAAAATATATTGTAATATTAATGAATGTACATTAATATTAATTAATGTATGTACATGTGTACCTTCTTGCTTATTATACATATATAGGTATACCTATTGATTCTTTTAAATAAAGGTAAGTTGTATGAAGAAGACGCACGTATAAGTAGAGAAGTAAACTTTTACTCAAATTTCAGGTTAGCATTAAACATAACACAGCCTTGTATGTCCGCAAACACGTATGATGATAGATAAATACAGTCGAAAAGTGAATAATTTAAAAGATATCTCATATTGAAAAGTATCATATCTTATATCTTATATTCATATCTTATATTGAAAAGTAGTATGATAAAATAATTAATAGTAGTAAGATAAAATAACTCTGAAAGTATTCACTTTTCAATGATTTTAGTCCAGTACGCTTTTATACGCAGAATAACCAGAGAAATTAATTTATACTGAAAAATCGATGATGCCATTTAAAAATTTAAAGACTTGAACAAAGTTTTTCAAGATCATTCCAAGGTCAAATAAATGACTTTTTTCCTTCTTTGATATCCTACAACTTTATTGGAAACACTTTTTCGTATCTTTCTTAATTTCTGAGATATCATAGAATAATGTAGTTAAAGAGTTATGTAGACCACCTTGTGTGTATGTGTGTGTGTGTGTGTGTATGTGTGTATATATACACACACAAAAGGTGCGACAAATCACTAACCAACCGAGATAGAGGCAGTCAAAATAAAGAGAAAGATAAACTTCATATACTATTTTATAAAATTTATAAGTTTAATCGTAATTTATAAGTTTATTAGTTCTTAAGCAATTAATTAAAACATTTGAGCAAATGAACGCAGTAAGCTGGGCTTTGAAAGCATATATATACGCGAATGAATCAATGCATATTTTATAACATCGATAAATCAATTGTAATCGTCGATGACGAAGTACATATATTTCTTATTTACTATGTATTTTAATATTATTTATTTTACATCATGTGTGAAAAAGCGTGACAAATAGCATCCCATGCAGAATTTTTGCGAGACGCCTCTATAAAGAATCGAAATGCAGGATGTCGCAAAATCTGAGACAATTGATCATCCTAAAAATACTCGAGAATCGAGGCCCGTGAAGATCAATGTCACTATCTCATTCTTTGCTTGACCTTCAGTGATCTTTCACGAAATCTTCATCTATAGCGCCCATTATCGTATTACTTCACGCTGCAACTGAAGAAGTTGGCAGTCGGCATTCGATCGAATTCTTCTCTCTGAATTTCTTCGAGCAAAATCCCACTTGAAATGTAGAACAACCGTACGTAGACAATCGAGTCATTCAAAGTCATATGATTTTTTACTAAAAAATTCTGCATTTTAAATTGTTGAATGAATAATTTCATCCGAAATTGAAAAGTGAATAATGTATAATGTATAGTCAATTGCAGAACGGTTTAAACATGCAATAAATTTAGTTCACCAAACTGTCAAAATTGAAAGTCATTGCCGACTCTCAATTTGCCTACGCAAATTATCTGTCTGCAAGTTTTCTGTTAACTCCCAAATTCTTTGGATTTGGATTTTGCATAGTTACTGTCTAAGACTCTACGGAAAATATAGGCTACATGAAAGAGAAAGAAAGAGAGAGAAAGAGAGAAAAACCTGGACATTCCACCTTCTCCCTCTGATTTCATATCCTCAACAATTTGTGATAATTTAAGTTTATATGTTCTAAATATGAGAAACCCAAACAACGTCGAATAGTTTAAAAGTTAATTAATATTATAATATAACTAATAATAACAAATAATAATAATTAAGTACATACATTTCTGTGTTGTGTTTGTTATTTCGAACATAGCTCGCTCAGTCAACTTTAGCCCCGGTTTTCCTTACTTTACTAACAAAAATATAACGCTGTTTCCAAGTCATTACTGAGAAATGGTAATTTATAACAATAATAACATTGCGAGTAACGCATATTATTTCCGAACCATGATTATGTTTCCATAAGAAATATATTATGCGCTCAAGGGTAATATTTAAGGGTATAATTTCGAGAATATAATTTTATAATATATGTTAAGACTATTTTACCGATTTGTACATACTCCACCGTCACAGGAACAAATTCACTCTAATCAATTGAAAAAATCACCGTATGGATTAAAAGTACTCATTCTAAATTTGAGTTAACACTTTAACGACTGCATGTTTCTTACAGAAACTTATATCTACTACCTACGATTTTAGCATTGTGTCACAATGATGAAATAATAAATGCTGTTGCTCCAACAGCTTATAGAGTAGATTACAATTGAGCTCGTTAACGTAGATGTAAAAGCGACAGACAACGATTGCCCTCATGAACTTACGCGAATTTAAAAACGACAGATGATAGAAGAATTTGTGAACTTACGCGGATATAAAAATAGTAGATAACAATTGGACTCGTGAACTTACGTTGACACAAGAGCAGATAATTAAACATTAATATTTATGATTCTAAGTAAGAATATTTTCACGACTGCATCGAGTAAATTTCCACTCGCTTTCAATGAAATTTCGATCCGAGAAATTTAGACTTATATCCGTAAGAAATTTAGACTTGTTGGATGCTTCATATACACATACACTTGAAAATTTTACCAACAAGATACTGACATTTTTCTATAAAGTTTATGTTATATTAGCTGTATAGAATTACAAATATCTTTACGCAATGAAAGTACATGCAAAAATGAATCCGAACATTGCTCAATATATGATGAAAACGATACAAAGTTTTAAAACTGACATCTCGTGCTATCAGTTAGTGATAAATTATATCATATACAAATATTTGCTTGATACAAGTTCTGTAGCTTGTATATATTGAACGTGTGTTTGCTGTGTTGAGAAAAATTTCAAAGGATATATATATATTAATATATACATATATTTTTTGTACCTCTGCAATTGAATTTAGAGAAACTAAGAAATATATAGAAAGTTTGTAGAAAGATTTCTACATATATATGGTTAGGTTTTCCGCTGAATATAGTAAAACAAAACAATATACATTTATGTAAGTTCTGTATGTACACACGACGTCATGGATGCCCGAACATTCTCTAAAGAGTTACAAGATTTTCGACTTTATGTGTATACGAATAAAATTAAAATCGTTATAATTAATGTCATTATAATCTTACTGTTATAATCAGAGTTACTTATCAATTTTCAATCTCAAATATTATATATAAAGCTGAAAATCGTATCCAAAAGCATTCATGACGCCGTATGTACCAAAAATACGAAACACGAAGCGTGATTATGTTAATGACGATCGTCTCTGCGTTACCGACATTTTTCGAGTTCGTCATCGACTTCAGCATTCCATTAATAATTATTACTTGAAACTCTCGTCTTAAGTGAAATATTCAACTTGCAATTCAGGTTGGAATTCAAACTAACATTCAGAGTTAGATGAAAATTTTTCAGTTGAATCATTATTGCAAATACAAATATCACATATAACATAATTCAACCGAAGAACTTGGACTTGACTTTAAATAAAAATCTTAGCATTGTACATGAGACAAATATCAGAAAATAATTATTAATGTGTATGTGATAGACGTTATTTGACAATTTGTCTTAAGGAAAATATTTAGATATTAATTTAGAGTTAAGGAATTAAAGAAAGAGTTAGAAGGAATTCACCTCAGTAGAGGTGTACCTCACCTGAGATAAATAACGACTATTAATATGGGCCTTGAAGAGTCACTCGCAAGGGACCGAGTCGACCAAATTAGTCGAGCGATACGTTCGCGCGTTTCATAATGACGCTTCCTCGCGCGTTTTCGCGATTAAATCCGGCGAACGACAATATCGAGATATCTCTTTTCAATGGTTATCTCCAAAGGTCATACGCGTGCTGCGTTTTCTGCGGAGGTGATATGCCCCTCCGTGAACAGCTCGCGGCCCGGGCGACTGCACGTGTGCGCGTGCAACATCGTCGTCGCACGCGCATTTATTTTCGCGGGAGATACGCGGGAGACTCTCTCTTTCTCCTTTTGCTTTCTCTCTCTCTCGCGCGCGCACACACTCTTGCGCTCGCAACTCAAACTGGTCGCGGACTAAAATACGACGCGTTGCACGCGATAATGCGCCCGTCTTTCTCACTGAGGAAGCGCATTTTCGCCCTTTCGCACTGCCACACCCTGCCGTCTCCCGTCCAGCACATACCGGGTGTCCCCGACAGACGACGTCGTGCAATGACATAATCTTCGCTCGTCGTCGCGATTACAGTGTTAATAACGAGCGATGTTACCACCGGCGCGCCGCGGGGAGGACAAAAATTGCGATCGGTTGATTGGCCGTTGCACTCGACGAAGCACCGCGAGACAGAATCAATCCTCCCTCTCCACCTCCTCTTGTTTCTCCTACATGCGTCTCGTTTTTGTTTTCTCTTTTCTTTCTTTCTCTTTCTCTCTATCCCTTTCTTCTCTCCCTCTCACTCTTTCTTTCTTTCTCTCTCCCTTTCTTGACGACTGCAACCACTCCCTGCCCGGTTCTGTCGGACGCTCGCCGTCTACAGGAACGCGCCGACCTACCGTGAATCGTCACGCACGATCAACACGATCGACACGACACGTTGTTGGCCGTAGTTTCTTCTCGCGACGATCGTTTAACTACTCAACGGTGGCGCTCGCCTCAATTCTTTTCTTTTTTCTTCTTTCTTTTTCTTTTCTTGGCATATTTGTAAATTTTACCGACAAAATACTGATTTATTTCTGCAAAATTTATGTCATATTGATTGCATAGGATTACAAATATTTTTATACAATAAAACCACATGCATAAAAAAATCGAAATATATATATCAATGTTTCTATATTATACATACATATACATATGTGTGTGTGTGTGTGTGTGTTGGCGTGTGCGTGTGCGTGTGCGTGTGCGTGTGTGTGTGTGTGTGTGTGTGTGTGTGTGTGTGTGTGTGTGTGTGCGTGCAGGTTGTTTCAGACTCTACTCCGCAATTCTTGTAAAAATGTAGAATAGATTGATAAACATAAAAATCCAATACCATTTTGCGACATTTGCAATAAATCTCTTTATATATCTAAGTTATTACTTAAAAAATTTAATATCTAAGATATTACTTAAAGAAGATCATGTATATGTAAATGATCACGCATGATATGGTAGACAAGCTACCGTTTGCCATTGTATACTTATTAGGTTAATCTGAACAAAAAAGTTCTCTACCATTTTGTAAATAACCATGTAGATTTTTAGATATTAATTAAAAAAGATTTGTGCATTATCGCGCACAATTATACAACAATTTTCTTTCATTAATAACTAAAAATTTACATGGTTATTTGAAAAATGATATAGAGCTTTTTCGTTCAATTTGATCTAATGTACAAACACACAATAGCATATAACTACCATATCGTGTGTGATTATTCACCAATCTTTTTTAATTAATATCTCAACTATTATTGCGTATATTGCAAAACAGTATAGGACTTTTCACCTCAACCCGTTCTACATTCCCAAAAATTGCGGAAGAGAATCTGGAACTCTATATATGTATGTATGTATAACGAATGTATGTATGTATAACAAACACGATAAAAAAGTTTAAAACACGATAAAAAAAGTTTAAAATTCTCTTAAAAAGAAGCTGGATATCGACATAATGCAGCATTTTTTGCATTGTTTTTCTATTTGGTTGTACAGAAAGAGAGAGAGAGAATTTTGCAAATATTCTTATACAGAATAAAACTACACATATTAATAAATGGCGGAGTGTTCCATATTATATTAAAAATGTCCTATTTGTAAAGTTTTTTTATTTTTTATATGACGCGTGGGATACTCTGCCATTCATTAGTTTTTCTACTTTTACGCTGTGTAAGTATTTACAATTCTATACAATTAAATATTAATAAAAAAATAATGCAAAATATAAAAGTTCCACTATATCAATATCCAATATCTATGAAAATGCCAAAATAAATAATGACTCCGAGAATGTCAATAATGTAGAAACGATCTCCGCAATGTCATGTCAGATAAGCGCTGCTTACGCTATCTTTTCTGTATTTCTTGTACATGTATAGACATCTTAAAAATAAATAGACACTGTGATTTTTGTCAATAGCTATTTATTTATATCAACTTGATAAAGTAAAATAAATAACCATTTAAAGAAATCATAAGTGTCTATATACTTTTAAGATACTTCTGTAGATCTTACATATATGTGTTGTTTTACTTATTTCTTACATATATGTCTTGTTTTATCATATTTAGCGAAAACATGTTCACACATACAACGAAATTTCTTTGCAAACATATCGATATATTTTGAAGCTTCTAAATTCAGTTGCAAAGGTTCAACAATCTTTTTTGAAATTTTCTTGAGCGAATCAAACATACGGACATATACTTGCAAAAAAAGTTGGACAGAAAGAATTTATGAACAGAAAGTTTATCTGTAATTTTTTGCGTGAAAAGTTTCAGAACGTATCAATCTTGTCCAACGGAAGAATTTGCTTCTCAATGTGATAATTCTTCTAAGCAAGACGTATGCATTCCGAAACTCACACAAAAATTATGGATATTCTTTCTGTCTACAAGTCCTACAAGCTACAGAACTTTTGGATTAAGCAAATATTTATGCTAACTGTCAGCTCCCGATGTCAATTCTGAAATTTTTTATCATTTTTATCACATATTGAGTAATCAATTCAAAGCCTCAATTCATTTTTGCAAATAGTTTCATTGTATGAAAGTATTTGTAATTCTGTGCAACCAATACGACGTAAACTTTGTAGAGAGTCAATATTTTGCCTGTAAAATTTTCAAGTAAGACATTACTCTGAACAATTAATTTGCCGTGAAATGGATGATCATAACGATAATGGAGTCCTTTAATATCAAATTTGTCGATCCTTTAAAGAAAGATGTGATTGGGCCACTACCAATAAAGTTTACTAAAAATACCCTCTCGTCCATGTACTTGGTACATATTCAATGACGCCTAGGCGGTAAGGAAAATTCTACCGCCGCGCATCACGCAGTATTATATTTACGTGACGGAATTATTCACTTGGCAGGTGCAACCGTGCACTTCGCGCGCGATTTACAACAAAAACTGCGAGGTACAGATCAACGAAATTTCATAGTATTGTCGCACGAAACGCGAGAGAATTTCAGAAAGTCGCAGAGTTTTAGTCACGCTTTGATAGGGAAGACTGGAGCCAGATGCCCTATATTTTAGAATTTCGAAATTACAACTTCTCAGGTAACTAATAGTTGTGACTAAGCGTATAAACATGATAGAGACAACCTTCTTCTGTATATTAATGCCTGCCACAACTCTATTAACCGTATATTTTGTTTTATAATAACCAAAATAGCTATCTTATCCTGATATTGGGTTTAATCGTCCAGTAGCGTAGGGTAACAAAAGAAGGCCACATATAAAATATATATCCTGATTAGTAGTTTTAGAGTTTCCGCGAGAGGTCTCCACAGCCCTTTTGCTGGCTTTTAATTACGGACCAACTTTACCTCGTATGCCCATATGTTCTATTTCAATTATTTTATCAATTGCATTTATATATTAGAAACAGTATATCATATACTTACAATAAGTTTCATTTTAGTTAACACATCGTTTAATTTTATTCAGTCACGTTAAAAAATATTAATACAAAACAGTACATTCCGAAATGTTCGAAAATTTAGGTTGCTCTTACTAAGTCAGTTTTTTCTATTTCTTAACTGTAATATTATTCCGATTTTAATAAAACTCAAAAAAACATATTTATGTTCCAAAAGGACTATTTCGCGATTTTTTTACCCATTATTGCTCTCAAGATAAATACTAAAAAAACCACATCAGCGTTATCCGCCTCAGTCTTCCCTACTTTATCAACACGCAAGGATAATTACAACTATATATAGTAGAAATTTACAAAGAAGAATAATGGGTAAAAAAAAATCACGAATATATATGTAATTTTATTTAACATAAAATATATTTTTATTATAAATAAAATAATATATTACACACACACACACACACATATATATATATATATATATATATATATATATATATAATAAATTATATTATTTTATTTATAATAAAAATATATATTATGTTAAACAAAATTATATATATATATATATAACCATTAATCCTGCCACTATAATTATTTCCATCGCCTAATGATTGACCTGTCGGACGCGGAATGTGATGGATCACTAATAGACAGCGGGGTATTGCCCAGCGTGTTTACTGCATCGGCGAGAAGATGAGACTCACGTTAAGTTTGAACGCAGTTGTGCTTCTCCACTGCTGAGAATTCAATTCTAACTATTATCGATGGTCGGTGGTCATTTGCAACTGGTAGTCAATCGACGCGGTCGTCGAGCACGGTTTTTTGACGGAGGAGTGATCAACTTCTGGCATAGATCGGCCTTAGCTCTCTAATAGCCTGAAGGGAATGCTGCATACTGACATAATGTAGCTTTCGTCTTTTGCATCGCTTTTGATGTGTATAGAATTAGGAATGCTTATACAGAGTGAAAGTACAAATGTTAACGTATAGCAGAGTATTCCACGTTATAGTAAAATCAAAAAGAAATGTTTGTAAATAAATTACCTTTTCAATTTTTTATTTTTAACTTTTTATTTTATTAATTTTATTTTACTAATTAAAGAAAATTGATGAAGGATCACGCGCGATACAGTAGATAGCGACGTCTGCCATTGTAAGTTCGTATATTGGGTCAAACTGAACAAAAAAGTCTTGTACTATTTTGTAAATGATTACGTGCATTCTTCATTATTACTTAAAGGAAATTGACTCATTATCGCGCACAAACGTGTACCAAACTTCTTTAATTAATAATTAAAATTGTATACGCTTATTTGCAAAAAGAGGATTTTTTTGCTCAGTTTGACTTAATGTCAAATTATACACGACGGCAGACGTCGCTATTGCAATTCATCTACCACATATCGCACGTGATCATTCATCGGTCTTTTTAATTGAAAACTCAAAATTTTATATAGTTGTTCGCAAAATGGTAGAGAAATTTGATGTTCAGTTTGATGAGTTTTACTCACAACGAATATGTCATGAATTGCTAAGTAGGAATTTACTACTGGCATCAAAGTGGCTCAGTACTGATTTATGGTAAACGTTACATAGTATCAGATGCCAGTACGGATTTAGTATTAGTGTATTGTAGTATTAGGATGATATAAAAGGGCCAGTATCGGAAAACAGTACTCTCACAGTACCGAAAATCAGTACTGTACCAGTATAAAAAAAAGTATTGATTCCTAGCACTGGGGAAGTACCTATTCTCAGTACTGGATCAGTATCGATTCCTAGTAATTTTTATTATTTATATAATTGTTAATATCACAACTATATAGTACGGAAAGAAAGATCAGACCATGGCCGGGACTTCCTCTCGTTTGTACTTATACATGTCTATTTTTAATAGTTATATGAGGAAAAAATCTTCGGGGCGACGACTGGAATCGAATTCGAGTCTTCCGCTTGTCAAGGCAAGCGTTCTTACCACTGATCTAGGTTTCGCCTTAATGACCTCTTCCGTTTTCCCATAAAGGATATTGGTATCGTCCGTTTTTCGGTATCGACACAATACTGGCCCAATATCCTCTATTGGCAGATTATATACTATTCTTACTTGGGTATCCAGTACTGATTCTACAGGTCCAGTACCAATAATACAGCTTTTTTAATACTGAGCCAGTACCGAAAACGACAAAGACTTTTCGGTA